CCCAACTCCTTGATAGCGCCTGCTTGGTCTCACACTGTCCACTGACATGAAGTGGAATAAATACATTGAATCAATAGCTTCATCTACCGCAAGGAAAGTTGGCTCTCTGTGTTGTGCCAGAAAGTTTTTCTCATCTGAGTCCATCCTTCAAATCTTTAAATCAACCATCCGTCCTTGTATGGAATATTGCTGTCTTATATGGTCTGGTGATCCCACTGTATATCTCGAGGTCCTTGACAAAATCCACATAAATATGCAAGATGATAGGTCCTGATCTGGCATCTAGTCTACAATCGCTACCACACAGACGTAGTGTGGCCTTCTTTTGTCTCTTCTACAAATATTTTCACAGCAACGGTTCTGACAAGCTACTTTCGCTGGTTCCTGGACTACATGAATTTAAACGAGCTACCAGGTTGGCATCTTGGTCCCACCCTTTCACTGTCAAAATGGTTAAATGTAACAATCTCTTCTTCTCAAAAAGCTTCTCCCCCCGAACTTCCCGTCTGTGGAACTCCTTTCCTCTTACAATTGACAGCTGACACCCTGAGCTTGTTCCCCGTCTTTCTCTGTACCCTTTCCTCAAACACACCTCTTTACTCTTGTTCTCAATCCTCTGTAACCCCTTGTGTGCTAGTGGCACTCCCAACTTGCTTGGGGTGTATTGCCTTAAAAAAAAAAAAAAAAAAAAAAAGAAAAAGAAAAGTGTAATAATAAGAGAGAGAGAGAGAGAGAGTTTTCTTTGTCAATCTCTTAGTGAAAAGGAAAGTATATATTTCCATATGGTGTTACTACTACTTAATCCTACTACACTTGAAAAAATACTGAATATTAAAATAGTTTTATAGTGAAATTAAAATTAAAAAATTTTCCTTTTAATAGCCTTTTGTTCTAGTATAACATACAATGACAATGAAGATGAGGATAACAATCCAAATCAGAAATATAGACAAATTATGGATAGCCTGTTAATAATTTGATCAGACATGCAACCTTAGTTATACAACAAAATGGAGAAACAATTGAAAATTTTTTGTAATTTTATAAACCCCATTTCATACCCATTTGTTTCAAAATATATGTTTTTGTTTTCCCAATTGCTCACTTTGCATTATAATGGTTTTAAAACTTGTGTTCATTTATTTTCACACTGTATACATATATACACACATCTTGTAAATATAGAAAAAATTAAAAATTATATATATATATATATATATAGAGAGATAAATAGATAGATAGACACGCACATTTTTTAATGTAACAGAATATGCACAGATACTATACAGATTCTAAACAGAAATACCAGGAAGTAACACTGATCCCAGGCAGAGAGTCAGGAAATTAGAATATACAGATACACATGCTAGGCAGAAATGTCAATTCATATATTAATAATCACATCCTTTTTTTTTATGGATACTATACCTGTAAAATATAAAATAATACTAGAAAGACCCATGAAAATTTCATGGTTTTCCTATTTGAAGTTTCTGATGAATCTCAATTTAAAGTTAATGATTAAATAAGCTCATGGCGATTTCTACTACAATAAAAAATATCTGTAGAAATTCCCCTATTGCATCGTTAAATATTTGAGCTTAACAACTTTAACAAAATATTGAAATAACAATCATAAATATGAATGCTGGTCATTATTTTAAGAATTGGGTAGAAATTAATAGATTTGAAATTGACAACTTTTTCCATTTCACTGAAACAGCCATTAAACACTTCTAGCTTACCTTATTTCTTTCTTTCATTTTCTCACTGAAACCAAGTAGTGTCTTTTCCCCTCTATCAAAATGGAATAGTCCATTATTTATTAGGTATTGGCAGATGTTAAGCACTTTTATCTTCGTTATTTATTTATTTATTTCTAGCCAAATACCTGTCTTACGAACATTACTCTTAATAATCATTTAAAAATAATTGATGATGTTATTTTATTTAATTTATGGTAATTTTGGCAATTGTCTTTTCATTGTTTAATAGTGTGTCTGAAAAATGGTGACTTTATTGCATCGCTACCATTCCTCGGACTTTTGACCGAGATCAAAGTGTAGTATTTGTTCTTATCAGCTTAATCTGATTCTCTCTCCACGTCTATCTTCCCTTCTTTTTTCCTTTCATGCAGAATATTCCATTATTTATGAGGTACTGACAGAACATAATGGTCATGCTAACTAACAAAGAGAGGGAGGGACAAGCACAATTACAATAGGATATTGTGAAAAAATGAGAAAGAAAGAGAGATGGATAATAATAACAGAATTGATAGGAGGAATCTTGTAAATCAGACATAATATAGTAAATGTGGTCACAGAATAAACATCCCCCATTGTCAAATTGTTTTTGGTACAAGGCAAGATTCAACCAGTGAGAAAAGAATTTAGTCTATCAATGGCTTGTGATCTTAGCACAATAGACACTAGTCTACAGCAGATGCTCAAACTGTCACATGGCAATATTCTAGCCATAGAATAATTATCAAATGCAATAAATTAAGAACTACAATTAAAATAATAGGACTCAATTCAAGTTCACAATTAAAACAGTTACGCAAGTGCTGCAGATTTTACTAGCATGAGAACATTTATAAGCAAAAAAAATTTAGCATAATTTTAAAATCAGTTTTCCTTCTAAAAAAAAAAAATTTCTAGTAAGCAAATCTTACTACTACAATAGTGGTAATGGTAAGCATTAGTAGGTGTAGTAATGGTAATATTTTATAAAGAATTATTAAAATTCTTGTGAGATAGAAAAATATGGCCATATCAGAAACTTAGTACATTTGAGATTAGATATGAAGTACTTGTATTAGGTTGAAATAATATTTGGACATGTGATTTCATTTCATACATGAATTATATATATATATATATATATATATATATATATATATATATTGCAGCAATGAAAAATGCATATAAAAAAGAAAAATCAAGAAGTATAAAAAGTTAAATGCTGATACTCTCTGATGAGTGAATGGTATAAATATGAAACTCTGGAGTTGGGAATCTTTTACTTGTATTAAATAATTATTTATTTATATATATTATGAAATGGACAAAGTCTGACAATTATTTTAAGACATTTTTATGTTTATACATTCTTTTTATAGATACAAATATTTAAGTAAATGCTCTGTTTTATAATAAACAGTATTAATAACATTTACCGGCCTGAATGTCTGAGAAATTATCATAGAAAATATTTGTCCTATGGCAGGAATATATATATATATATATATATATATTCTGAAAGGTCACATATCAGCACATCTTTCTATACATTTATGTGTGAATTCTAGACTTTAAATGTTTAAAAATAAAACTGAAGGTAAATGGATGCATTTTTGTCATTTGATGCCCTTTTATTTCCAGAAATTAAAAAATTCTATAGCTAAGAGTACTGTTTGTAACTGGTTTGCTAGGTTTGGAAATGTAAATTTTGATCTGGAAGACCGAAAACATTCTGGCAGGACTGCAGTCATTAATGATGACAAAATTCACCAGTTCGCAGGAAAAAGGACATAACAGATATACTCCACATATCTCATATAAGCACTGTAAGGCATTTGAAAACATTTGCATGCATCACTACAACGTTTGAGTAGCCCATTAGTTAACAGAAAAAGATTTAATCGACAACATTTCTATCTGCAATTCTCTGCTCAAATGCTATAAAAACCAACCCACTTTTTAAAAGAAGGCTCACAGACAATGAAAAATGGATTGTTTACAACAATGTGGAAGGTAAAGCGTTCTGGGAAAATGCGAAGCTGGTTTGCATCCAAAGAAAGTGATGTTATGTATTTGGTGGAATTGGAAGGACATTGTGTATTATAAGCACCTTCTACAAAATCATTGAATTCAGATAACTACTATTCTCAATTGGATCAATTAAAGGCAGTAATTGATAAAAAAAAAACATCTAGAATTGGCCAATTGGAAGCATATGTGATCTTTCATCAGAACAACAATTCCCAACAATGTCATCAGTTTCTAACTCGATATCTATACTGATGACACTATTTATTCCTGTCAATAGTAAGTTCAATAGGATTGATAATGTCAAATTGGCAGCTGATCTTGAAACTGACCTTCAATCTGTTGTTAACTGGGGCAACAAATGCCTTGTAAATTTTAATATCTCCAAAACAAAACTGCTCACTTTTAAACATGTTAGAAAACCATTTTTGTACTCCATCTACCAATTAACTCATTGACCTTCTCAATCTCATGTTTTCCACTGACATGAAGCAGAATGATTATATTGAATCAATTACTACATCTGCTATTCCTATGAGGAAAGTTGGTTCAGTGTTATGCTAGACCATTTTTCTTACACATTGATAAGTTTACCATTCATCTGTGTATTGAATATTACTACCATATTTCTTGATAATATTCAAAGAAGAATCTTACTAGCATCTTGTCTTCAGTCACTTTCTCACTTTCTTCTTTGTTTTTGACCAATTTCCATTTCTTGTAATTCACTCATTTTATGTGGATGTATTGGGCTATTATATATATATATATATATATATATATATATATATATATATGAGAGAGAGAGAGAGATGTGAAATGTCAATGCTAAAGGGTTAAAGATGGCAAAAGGTAGTGGAACAAAATAGCACATGTATGGTTGAATAAATCTATGTACAAATATCTAAATATTGTTTTTGAAAATCACTTAAAAATGCTATTGTTATAGACAAGCGTATGGTTGCAACAAAGAAATACGACAACAGCAGAAATAGATTTACGTGATTTATTTCAGTAGGAACGTCTGGTTTTGGGACAGCTACCTTGTGGTATAGTTCATAAGCTGGCTTCCGATATGGGTTGATCTCTCGTAATAGTTCTCACTGGTTGGCATGGAGCTCCTCCTACTGACTGCTGCTGACTGACTGTGACAGGTCTCTTCCCTGGCCTCCTGTTGACTGCTGTTGGACTTCCCCGTGTGACCCCTTTTATGATGTTTTTTATGGCTTAACAGGCTAGAAAAACGACACGAGCATAATTAGGAGGGAAGCATTTTTATTGGTTGAAAAATAGAAACACTTTAAAATAATATTTTATTTTTTGACCGGAACTCGTGCGTTGGACCGATGCGTAAACGACGATAATGGTCATTTTGTGATGGGGCCTTGTCCCATTCACATCCGGCTCTCACTCTTGAGTATGTTAGTTTATTTGCCTGCAAATCAGCCGAGATATGTCTTATTTTATTTTATAACACTATTAACATTTGTCCTGACCCAATATTAAACTGTTGTTTTGAAAATATTCCTTAATTACAAGAATGTTTTTTTATTATTAATAAATGAACTCAGCAGCTGATTTTTGTGACAATTTAAGGCATATCAGTTGACTGAGGGTGAAATCAAGCATTGTGACTAATTGATGATTTGAGTTTTTAAGAACTATAAATAGAAATCAAAAGAGACAGGAAGACAGACGGATTGAACAACTGTTAATGTAACTGAAGTGTACAGTATCAGAAGACATCTTGAGATTAACATATCCAAGTGACAGAAAATTCACCTAGTCATTTGGTTGATATAAGGGAGGAAAAAATGGTATTTATCCACACACACTCCATTCTACTGGAATATGGCACAAGAATGTGTTTGAAGTGGAAATCCTATGCAGATATGAGATTACGAACAATTGTACAGTCTCCCTCAACACTTTAGCAATAATAGGAGACATGCTAGGTGGGGAATAGCTATTGCAGTTTTTTGTTTTTTTAACAAAAATTTCACCTACTCAAGGTTAGAAATTGTAATTGTGAATGAGGTTTGTAATAAAAATGAAAGAGGTGGTAGGAATTAAATTTTAAAAGAACAGAGAGGAAAGATAATGATTGACACTTGAGCTGAGTATATTATATTTAGAAGTAACCCCAACCACAAATGATTTGGGATGAAAAAAAAAAAGGAAAAAATGTTAAGTAGGTTTATCTCCCTTGCCTAAACAACTGTGTTGCTTATTAGAAACTAGCAGCATGGCCCAGCGTTGCCGTTCTTGATTCAAAAATCGTACGACTCATACAGCAATCGCTATCACTTGACTTAAAATATTTTTGCCCTTCCTTGGCTTTAAAGGAGTGCCCTTTGCCATGCTGAGGTTGCTACATGCCTTACTTCTTGCTTATCTCACACTGTGAATTTTTTCTAACCTATACTAAACATTAAATCTGTTACGAAAAAAGAACTAAACAAAATGAACACAAAACGATCAGCTTTAAAAAAAGACTCATAACTGGAAGAACCAAATGAAAAAAGAATGTTAACAACAAATACTTTTTCATACCCAACCCAGTTCCACAGAATCAGAATCAACATTGAATTTAAGCAAGCGAATGAGCCAATTGGAGTAAAGTGTCATGCAGATTTAAATTTTTCCCCACTTGTGACAAATGCAGCTATGGATTTTTTTTGCATGCTAGTTAACATTCATGTCAGTCAGCTGTTGGCTCTCACACTGGCCAATAGAATCTTCCTGCCTATTCGTGGCAGCCAGCTATTAGCTCTCTCTCTCTGGCCAGTACAAAATGGCTGCAAACTACATGAAAACTGCCGTAGAAGCATGAAAAAAAATCGATTATTTCCACTATCGATGGGAGTTGGGAAATGCAAAGTCAGTCTTGGCCTTCCTGCTAACTTGGAGCATGTGCATGTAAATTTTGGTGCAAATCTGTCGAAAATTGCAGCCGTGCATTTGTTACACACACACATATCCTGCCTTTTATTTATATATATATATATATATATATATATATATATATATATATATATATATATATATATTATATTGAGCTTTTTTTTATTATTTTAGCTGTTGGTAGGGAGAGCTTTACCTTTGATTGTGGTAGATGCTATTTTCAGTACCCTAATTATTTTATTAGATGCTTTTGTCAGTACCCTAATTATTTTATATTCAATGTTTTGGGGTTTTTTAAGCATTTCATCCCAAGCAAGTCAGAAGTGCCATTATCACACAGGGGGTTATGGAGAGGAAAATGAGAGAAAAGAGGGTGTAGGGGGGATTGAAGAAAGGAAAAAGAACAGGTATCAATGCAACAAAAACATGGTGACTGATGTTGCATTTAGGTTTTGATGATTGTAGTTATCAGGGAAGCAAGTGAGAGGAATGGAGTTCCAATATGGAGAAGTGCAAAGAAAGAAACTGTTAGAAGGGTGGTTACATTTAACTATTTCAACTGTAAACATTTGGGACCTAGATGCCAATCTAGTAGTACACTTAAATTCATGTAGTCAGGGCTCATCAGTGCAGTAGCCATGAAAATATTTGTAGAAAAGACAGAGGGAAGCCACATCACGTCTGTGAGAAAGCGACTGAAGTCAAGAAGCTAATTCAGTAACGATTACATTACAGATCCTACTTTAGATTTTTTTGAGAATATTGCATTAAGGGAAGGTAGGGGAAAATTTTATGGATAAAACTTTAACTGTGCAACCAGTAATAAAAAATCACAGAAATACAATCTATGTTGTTATTCATTCAAACATCATCATCATTTAATAGTAATAAAAAAAAATATATATATTTAAAGTAATAATAATAGTAATAAAAGTAATAGATAGATATACACATATGCAATACACACATACATATATACATACATATATATAAATTTACATAGTTACAAACCTAATATATATTTTTCAGTGTTTGATGCAAAATAAACGTCTATTTTTAAGATGATATAAACTTATTTTTATGATGATATTTAAGTATAATTTCAGTTGTCTGGTTCAATAACTGGCTTGTATTTTTGTACTTAATTATTTTAATTTTTTCTTCCAGGCATAGTTTGCATCTGTTTTTGTTTTTATATATATATATATATATATATATATATATATATATATATATATATATATATATGTGAATTAAGATCAAATATAGATAGGAATGCAAGAGAATGATAGGATAAGGGACAAATAGGAAATCTTTATAAATCTGACATGCTTTGCTTTTATTAACATTTGAGATGTGTAGGTTTATTTTCCACGAGGGTCGGCCAGGTGAAGGTGAGACGAGGAGCACATCCCTCTACCCCGGAGTTGCTTGGTGGAAGAAATCAGCTGTATTTATGTTGCCTGCAGTTAGCATCGTAGCCGGTTGGCAATATCTTTGGTTGATGACTAAAAATTAACTTCTGCATTTTGAGTGTACACATGGGTTTCATTTGGACACCATGTGTATTTAAAGTAGTTTGCGGTTATCATTTTTAGTTAGGAGGACTTGTGTATGTTTATGTTTCATTTGTTTTACTTTTTGTGTATTGTTCTCTGAAAAAAAATGCTGAGTCACCGGAAGTTAACGGCATTCAGACGTTTGAGTAGCCGGCAGTAACTTCTGCCAGGTGTGATACTCTTACCTGTGCTTTCAAATTGATTTCATGCAAAAACAATTGTATTTTTCCAATTGTTGGTGCTGTCAGAACCACTGCTGGGTAATTTTACATAGTCCTGTGAAGTTTTGTTGAAATCGGTCGAAAAATGTAGGAAATACAATCCCATATATAAACGGACAGACACACACACACAATCTGCGTTTTATAATAAGTAAGATATAAATTCAAAATGAGCCTAACCATAAATCTTTCTCTTTCAATAATTACTATTTAATTCTACAACCATTTTAATTAAAGTCAATTAACAAAGAATAAATCATTGTTGCTTTAATTGCTGATGTAATGGAATAACCTGTCACCCCATAAGTGACTACACTATAGGTAGTAACTACCTATAAACATCCATAAGGCAACGGACTACGGGAGACTTGCTGGAATCTGTTGAGCACAACTCAGACTTACGCGAGAACTACCGACCTTCTAATAGCAACACTCACTACTGGATTGACTTGTGACAATTGTGCGCATAACTGTACCTTATTTCTTATTGTATTGGTTATGACAATAGAACCTTTACTTATTTATCCACTGTGTTTGTCAAGTATACATTCCTATTAACACGGAATATAACAATTACATATACAAGTTGTTTGATCTAAGTAAACTTTGATATAAAGGCAGATTCATAAACCTTTACCCATAAGTGCTTTTATTTGATCTGTATTAGAAATAATGGAGTTTGTTTATTGTCTGATGATATAAACATTAAAAGTTAATAAACCTGCTTTCTACTCATTAAAATTTTAATTAAGATTAAAAATTAAGAAGTATAAAATATCATTTTTAAATTTTAAAACTACTACAACATTGCTGCATTATGTACACAAATTTCATGGTTTATTTTTTGTTCCTTCTTTTTAGAAAGATTTCACATTTTTCTATCTTCCTCTTAATATATGAATTTATTACTGATATGAATACAGGCAGGTTCTATCCATGTAGTGTACTATGTATTGGACTATTAAGGGCTAAACTCAAAAAACTAATTAAATTACTCTTGGTACAGGCTAAAGTCAATATAAATTACTATTTTATACAACAGCTGTTAGCATATCATGGGAAACAATACAATTGCATATGAGCAGAAAATAAAAATTGTTTGAAATTTACAATGTTTCATATATCTTATTGACTTATCAAGATAAACAGATGTTGATACTTAACTTTAGTGTAGTAAATAAATCACAATTATTCAATCATTGTTTAGATTAAATGAAGAGGCTAAGTGGTCATTTTCTATAAGTGGGGCATATTTAAACTTTTAATGTTTACCTCCTTAATAGGTTTCATTTCTTAGAATAATATTTATTAAAGTTTGTTTAAAATACCAACTGCTGCTATAAATTCCTAAGAGTTATCTGATTGACAATGCTTGATTTTCATGCCTGTAAAAAATGATGTGTCAAAAGGATGGTTATTGCTTTGATACTTAGCAAAGTTTATTGTTTTAAAAAGCAAAATAGATATCATCTTTATTCAAATTTTCTTGTTTTATAGTTTGTTAATATTTTTATAAAATTATGAAAAATTGTTTTCACAAGTATTAACAAA